CATCATCCTTCTGGTAATTGAGACAGGACTTGTTGTCTTTCTAAGTGTATTTGACGTTTAGTGAAATACTCTTAAATAACTTGTTGATTATACATTTCCGTCTGAGCTCTATGAAATTGTGGTTGAAGTGTATGAGGTGTAAGTGCACTCATAAATAGATAATTATTTTTTTCTCTGAGTATTGAATGTCCAACAAAACCTGATTTTGATGTCTTTGGACAGGATGAACTCAATTTTTAAGGCTAAATAAAGTCAAGAATCAGAAAATCTAAAAGGAAACTGGGCTGATATTAATATCCGATGTTTGTTTCCATCTTGTTGCCTTTTCAGGAGGAGAAAGGTTCTCCATGTGGTATTAAAATCAGCTTGATAATTTTCCTTTGTGATGATTAATAGCGCTTGAAGAGCAATTTCGTTCACAGAGACTTCATAATCCATTATATATATACATATTTATAGCTTCTTTGAAAAAAAATGACCTTTAGGAATAATTTTGCTCTTCACTTTTACTTGAGTAATTTTATTATGAAGTATTTCTGCTCTTACTTGAGTAAAATTTCTACCCACTGATTGAAAAACAAACAAAATTCACTACACAGACACAGACCTGCAGTTTTTGTTAAAGTTTTATAAGTTTTTATTGAAAGAAACTGATTTGGAAACATTTTCTTTTGCCTGATTTTGTTATTTTTTTTATTGATGTGAATTTTTGTCATTTTCGTCCTTAAAATACAGAAATTTCCACTAAACTTTACATTTTGGTCCATTAGATTATGTAACTTTTAAATATTAAATGATTGCTAACTTGATCAGAACTTGAGTCGAGTTGATACTTTTTACTTTTACTTGAATAAAAGTACGTTGAAGTACTCTTAATTAGGTACAAATGTTGGGTACTTTGCTATTCTCTGGATGTTAATTGAATTTCTTATTAAGGGAAAACGCCACAGTTGCAAAATTGTATTTTTTCAACATTAGTGGAACATCAATGACATTCTGCACATGTTTATAATGGAATCGCTGCTTCTGACTGGTTGTTTGCTCTGTTGAACTCATCCACCTCTGCACGGCTTCATTAACTTTGCGTTCCTGTCACTTGTTGCCATCAGTGACGAGCAGAACCCCCTCAGACGGCGCCGTCGTCTCCTTTCTGGTGTACTTGATGCTAACAGACGTGTTGGTTCAGGTCTCTCCTGCTGTGCTGCTTTAACTGTACCGTAATACAGTCTGGAAGAGAACTGTCACAAGCTATAAATTCACACTTCTCCTTCTACTTCCACTCACAGGCTTGTTGCCACTTCCTCTCTCTCACACACAAACTACCGGCAGCGACAGAAAACGGTTTCTGAGCCACTCCGCTATCACATCTGCGACTAATCCCTGTAGTTATCTGCAGCCAGAATCAGATCCTTCCCATCTGACCAGCACGGCCGACTCCTTTGTGTGTCTGATGCTGGTATCTGGTGAAAGCCTTCCTCCTCCTCCTCGTCTTCCTCCCCCGGCCTGTGATGCACCGTCTCAGGAATGCCCTGACCTCCCAGCTGCTTTCACAACGTGCGGCTGCTTTTGCTTTCTGTCGTCATTCTGTGGCTTTGACACAGTGTGAAGACATTTAGGTGGTGGAAGCTACTGTGTTAGCTGCCCCCTGTGTTAGAATGCCCCTCCCATTACGGCTGATGTTTAAACAAGGATCCACCCTCGATATAAAGAAACATTTCCTCCATGTTTTTTTGCTGGAAACGCAGCTGCAGAGAGGTTATTGTGCAAAAGAGTTCATATTTTGTCACATTACAACCAAAAACATGGATGTATTTTATTGTTATGTAATATGAAAGACAAAGTTTTGTCTCAAAGAGAGGAGATGTCATAAATACGTTTGATATTAAACACAATAAGTTAAAAGAGTTGCACTGTTTTCAGCCTCATTCTTAGCTTTTTCATTTGGTAACAGACAGAGATGATGCAGTATTTTAATTACACAGTAGGGAAATCCATATAGTTTCAGTAAGTAGGTGTAGGAAGTTTTAGAAAGTTGAGTTTTACATTTTACAGTTGCATATCCCTCATTTGTATTTATTGATGTTTTTATTGGACAAACAGTGGATAATCAGGACAGTTTTGGGGTGTTTTAAACATAATTAACTGCAATTTATCGTGACAAATTCTTATCAAGATGAGAGATTCATCACTCCAAATGATAAATGATTCGATGATCTAACCCACCTAAATGCTTGAACTTGAAGCTGAGCGTAATCGTTGTCTCGTGAAGCTCACAAAAATTCAAAAGAATGCGGCATAATTCGAAACATCAAGCGTTGAATCCCAGGAGATTCTTAGATGAATGCTAACAATGTAAAATTAAATATATTTCTGGTTCTTGAAAACAAAAGCTGCATTGAACGGAGCGACTTCGCTCATTGCAATAAACATCTGGGGTAAAAGTGAAAGGTGACGCTTGCAGATCTGTTTTTGTGGTTAGAAGTGCCAGGCAGATATGTGCCTGTACAGCCGGATATTTGTTTTAAAATGCTGCTACATATACTTATATTTAGAAAGTCTTCATTTCCTGAAGGTAACACAAAAATATAAAATCAGATTTAGTTTAATTCATTTCTGTTTTTTTGTCAGAAATGTTAACATTATGAAGAAAAAGCAATGAAACCAACATGCAGATATTTAACACAAGAGACAAAAAAAAGGAAAAGATCATCAGAGATTAAGAAATAATGTTGAATACATCCTAACCAAAACAAAAAATAAAATAAAAAGGTTGTATTTACCAAACTTCAAGCATTTTCAAGATGAATTTTCAGTTATTTCCAGCAGCACTTTGGAGATAAAAACAACATATGAATATTTATTACTGATATTAATAAGAAGTGATTAAGTATATAAAAATAAAAACACATATAAAATAATTCTGGTAACCATAAATTACCTTAAATGAGAGTTTGGTCTGATTTAAAGCTAAATTAATGTGCATGCCTTTTTATTAGGTGTATAAAAATCTCTGGTTTCAACTGAAAACAACTCTTTGCAATTGCAGCCTTTAATTTAATGTTAGATTGCACTGAATTTGAATTTAAAGCCCTTTCCAAACCTTGTTCAAATTCAACTATTTTCAAGGATTTTATTAAAAATTTTGTAGGATTGTATATGTATATGTACATATATTGTATATGTATCGTATTTGTATTGTATTGTTTCTGGTGTTTAGCGCGTGAAAAGCTTGGTGGTCTTCTGGTTTTCTCTTCCTGTTGAACTTGGAGACTTGAAAAAACATTTCAAAGTCGTCCATCTGTTGCTCTGGGATTACTCTCTCAAAGCCTGGAAATAACTGTTTTCCCACTTTTTTCTCCCATTTGACATAAGAATCTCATTGTTGGAACACCAGTAACTCTTAGAGCTGTAATGTCTGTCTAGATTAATACCTTTTTCTTTTCTTAATTCAACTTTTTTCTGCATGTATCTCATTTTCGCCTCTTGCTAATGACAAATTGTCAAATAAATCTTGCATAAAATGATCCTGCAATTGGCTAAACAGTCTGTAACATTCTCAAAATGAAGTTAGCAGTGTTTAGCTAGATCAGGGATCCTGAAATCCAGATCTGAAGGGCTCTGCTTCAACACACCTGTGTCAAATATTCATCAACAGTTACTCTGGAGAACTTGATTGCAAACTGAGGAGATAGTTCAGACACGAGATTCACCCCTGGGCTACATGCTAGTAGCAATTAGCACCCACTATAACAGAGAAAATGCTAGCGTCGGTTTGTAGCTGCATAGCTAATTTACTTATTTTTACTTATTTAAAACTAAAGCAAAACTTGACAAAAAATCTATATATGACACAGATATTAAGAATCAAACCTTACTTGCGTGCTGCTAAATAATGGTGAGTTTTAACGTTTACATGTTTAATTTTTATGCAACTTGAGCAAACTTCAACAAAAAATGTGTGATGATTTTTTTCATGAATAGATATTTCAATAATAACTTTGTTTTGGTGGAAGTTTAAAACGGGCAATTTGCAGCTACATTTGGCCAATTTGTATTTTTTTATTTTCTTACTGCATCAAAACGTAACATGAAATTAATTTCAATTTTAAATATTTTTTTTTGCTTTAAGATAAGCATCAACAAGCTTCAACTGGAAGGTTTTTGAATTCATTTAAAGGTGGTATAATTTTATTTAAGTTGAAATAAAATAGCTTACGCTTGAAGTGAAAGAGTTTTTAGATAAAATGTGACAAAATATTTGAAAGCTCAAAGTGTTAATACTTACTCAGGCAGAGTAAACACAAATGAAGATTTGTATGGTGTAACTTAATTTTATTTAACTCATATTTTAAGCAATGTTTTGGTTGCTGTTCACAAACAAACTTGCTTTTATTATCTGGATGTAACAAGTGAAAAAATAGCTGCTCAGTGTGGCTAATGCATCTGTAACTTTTTATATAAGTTAATAATAACCTCTTTAAACATTTCAGTATCATATTACTTACGTATCTTCCCACTTTTATCACCACGTCTTCTTATCTGCAGCATTAAAGTTGGCATTTGAAAATGGAAGATCAAAAAATCGAGCTTCTTATCTCTGTCTTCAACTGCTAGCATCACACAGACGATGTCAAATGTGTTCATCACTTAGTGAACTTTGTCATATGCATTTGTGACAAACACAGGTGCATTGAGCGAGTGGTTTGTGTGGGGAGAAACATCGCGTTGAAAGATGAAGAGAAGAAGAAATCAAACATGCCATCTATGGATAAATGATTCTGGTTTTGAAATGTTGAGAACTTTCTTTGCATTAATCATCTGCTTCTTTGGGTTGCTAAAGCTTATTGTAAATATAATTTTATTTATGTCATTTCAGCATGTTCCTCTTTCATTTCCAGTTGAAGTAATAAATAAAGCATCTGTAATAACATGCTAAAATCCTGTGGTTCAGTGAAAATGTGAAACGAGGTGGTTTTATCTGCGCCTTTCTGTGTGTGCAGTGGAGGCCGTGGTGGAGTTCGATTATGAGGCTCAGCAGGACGATGAGTTGACCCTGACGGTGGGCGACATCATCAAGAACATACGGCGGGACGATGGCGGCTGGTGGGAGGGCGAGCTGGGCGGACGCAGGGGGTTCTTCCCCGATAACTTTGTCAGGGTGAGTAATTGCAAAGGAAACCCACGCTTCCTCAACTACGCTGTGTCTCTTTTCTTTTCTCACCCTTCTTCTTCTTCAGTGTGCTAATGCTAACCAGCTGCAGATCAAATGTATAGTTTGGTGTTTGTTTGTGTGTCTATTGGTGTCTCAGTTTAGTGTAATGACCTTTTCACCACTCTTAGGTCTTTAATGTATAAATTGAGATGCATTTGAAAGTTTAGCATAGAAGAATTTTAACCCTCTCAGGCTCAAATTACTTGCAAAGACTAGCTAAGTAGCACTGAGCTGTTGCAATTCTGCAACATCTGCCTGGAGAGGGTTGAAGGGATCCTCTTGTTGAAAATTCTCATTTTGCATGTTTTTGTACTTCCATTTGGGTCTCATCTATTTCTAAAACCAGTCCAACCGCTTACAAAAACCACCCAGCTGTTTTTCTCAGCAATGAGTTAATACGTGTTTTGGTGTCTGGAAAATGAGCCGTTTCAAAAACCTCTGGACTGTGAAGTCACATTCTACAGACTCTACTGCGTTGTCTAGCAATCCCAGCCTTGTTACCCGAGCAGAATTCCCGCATTACAATGGCTGCTGGAAAAACAAGTGTTGGATTTGCTAACGCTTTCCAAAGATGTGCTGTTGTTATATTGCAGCTGTTTAAACATGGCCAGGAGCAGCTTATCTGGATTTGAAGTGACAAGATGCCCTAAAGCAGTTCATTCTGAAAGGAAATTAAAATATTTAGAACTTACCAGAATAACATCTCATTAACTAAGAATGATTTATGCATATAAAATGTAATGGACATATTTTGTGTATCTCATAGACCTACGAAAACCTGCTGAAGGAAGCAAATCCAAATGAGAATCTGTGGCAAGACTTTAATTTTCTTTATGCTCTCTGTCTTAAATCACCAAACGTTTGAGAAAAAGAATGGTTTTGTTACACATTCGATGTGCAAACTTCGGTAAAACCTTTTGGATTTTTCGTCCTTCATTTTCCATACACTTCAGGTTTAATTGTATTTAAATTTGTGTAAGTTTATAAAAAAAAGAATAAAATGCTTTTGCAACCCAAGGTTTGTTTTCTCTCTTCTCCTTTGGGTGACAAACAGTTTTCTAGCTAAATAATTCATGCAAATGTGAGGCGATAAGTGGAAAACCCGTAAAAAGGATATAAACATGGTGGCTAACCATGTTTATATCCTTATAATTTCAGGACTTACTGTTTGAATTTCATTATAGAAGCAGCTGCATTTATTATACATTCCAAAGTTTGTTAAAATAAGTTATTTATACCCTTTCCAAATTTCTCTGACTTCTTCAAATTCTCAGTTTGGAGAAGTGGGAAGTGGGAAAAGCCACAAACCAAGCCATTGCTTCCCCTGAATAGCTGGCATTTCGTAACAGCTCTTTGTACTTCTGGAGTTTTTTTCTGCATAGTTTATTTTTGAACCAGTTAAAGCCTTCGTCACCATTTTCTCAACCTAAATGTTGTCTGTTTAAAAACACTTTATTGCCTCAGAATGTTGTGTTTCTGGTCACTGGTAACCAACAAGTCTAGATGCCAAATACTTGTTGGTTACCAGTGTGAGAATGACTAAAAATGTCAGAGGAAAAACAAATATTTCAAGACGTGATGTATTAGAATGAGTAAGAATCAACAGCTACAGGCTTTTACATAAAGTCGCTGTGAACAAAATGAGATTTAGAAATGCAGTTTATGAAATATTAAAGGAACATAGTCTGAGAATTACCAAACATGGTGAAACTAGTGTTAATTTTTAGTAACATTTCTTCATTTCTGGTCACCAAACTAAGTAGTTTTTAGCTTAATCAGATAACATCAATTTTATTTTAACTAAGATATTTGTATTAGAAACTAAACCAAAAACTACTTGGTGAGATTTTGTGTTTTTGCAGTGTAAGGTTAGATCAATAATAACTTTTTTGTACTTTCTAACCGTTGAGAAACATGGATATATTTTACCAAGTAATTTTTGGTTTAGTTTCAACTACAAATATCTTAGTAAGCTTTAAACTAGACAAACTAACTTACAAGTAACGTTTTAGCAAGATTTAGAGGCTTGTTTTGAGTGAATAAATCATCAATATTGATGAAAATGCACTAGATTATTTAACTTATAACAGGACATTTTCTCATGTTATAAGTTACTTTAACTTACAATAGCACTAGCACATTTCCATCAATATTGAGAAATTATTTACTCAAAATAATCCTCTTTATCTTGCTAAAAAGTTACTTGTAAGTTAGTTTGTCTCATTTTGAGTGGAATAAGATATTTGCACCAGAAACCAGACCAAACGTTTTTTTTTTGCAGTGTTAGGTTCATCCAGTAAACTATGCGACTCAGTTTGTGCAATGCATTGAAGTAATTTTATTTATTTAGCTTACCAAGTTCCACTGTGACCTTATCACTTCCCTCTCTGCAGTTTGGTGATGATCCTTTGTTCATAGGTTGGTGTCTAAAATGCAAACGGCTGCTGTGCTGGAGGAAGAATAAAGCATGAACTTTGGGAATGTCCGTTCATTATGATTGTTATTTGTTTTAATGCCAGGCCTCCTCCTAAAACGTTGATTTCCACTTTCACTTTGCAGACATTGTTGTAGTCTAAGCACCTAAACTACTTACTTTAAATTTATATTTCATTATTTTCACAATGTTTAGCTGCAATGGTTCACCACTTCAACCAAAAACGGAAAAGCAGATTTAAACATTTGCATAACCTTCACAGCCTCATATTGGGAACTTTTCAAAGGTAAATTTGATGCAACAGAAACTGAATTATTTTCTTTTTAATCCACTCTTATGTCGCCCACATGACCCTCAAAACTTCAGTCGCAGATCCATGTGAGTTCAGATGACTGCAGCTTTCAGCTGTCAGGCTTAAGCAGAGAAAAAGGAGCTGCAGAGGCTTTGCCTCCTGATTTTACTTCTTAACTTGTTTAGAGACTTTAAGCAGAATCTCCATGTTGATTGGAGAAACTGTTTATGTGTTAATGTACACAGTTTCTTCAACTTCCAAAGCAACATGTGGCAGTTTAGTTTACATCCACAGATATTTGGTGTTTTATGGGAAACCTGTTACCCAGAATTAACATTTTGCCTGTTTTTGTACTTCCATTTTGGTCTCTACTGCTTCTAAAAACAGCCCAAGTGCTAAAAACACCAAGTGAGATGTTTTTTGGGAATAAGTTAATGTTTTTAGATGTTTTAGGTGTTTTAGGTTTTTGAAAATGAGCCATTTAAAAAACCTCCAGCTTAGGTCACATTCATCGGGGTCTGTGGTTTGCCAAGTCCAAACTGTCGTAGAGCAACCCCAGCAGAGCTGGTTTTAACACTGTATGCACTGTACGTTTTGAGTCATAGCTTATTGCAAATCACAATTTGCGCCTTTTGGTGCTTTTACTTTGGTCTCTGATGGTTCTAATACCAGACGAAACGCTTAAAAACAAACACCCAGCTGTGTCTGGCCAATAACTTTATATTTTTTAGCAGTTTCAAAAGCTTCCACCCTTTTGTTGTTGACTTACCATCCAGAAACCATTTTGTGCATTCTTGTTGGTTGTACAGGAGGCTCCACTTCTGCTTTTCTTAAATACATAGATATATGATTGCGTTTCTGTTTGGAGCTATTTTCACAGTTCACATTGAACAGGGGGGCATATTTGGATTTAAAGTGACAAGAGGCCCTAAAGCAGCTCATTCTGAAAGGAACTCAAAATAAGCAGAACTGATCAGACTAAATTTCAATATCTCAGAATGGTTATGTGCCAAAAATTTAATAAATATGTTTTGTATAACGTCGTGGAAGAAAACTATTTCCAAGCACTGTTCAGGCAAAAATCACTCAATCGGGTTTATTCCTGAATCGTGAACAACTCAGAGAGCTCATAAGACAATCAATAATAATTGATTATTGATTGTCTGGATGCAAAGGTCGCAAAGCTCAGCCAGGCAGAGACTACACGTAAATTTGATACAAGGATAAGGGATGGCAGCTGTGGAAAACAAACTTCCAACCTTGTACATGTAACCCAAATAGTTCTTTTGGTTAGAGTTCATAAACATTTCATATGACATGACTAGCAGATGTGACCTTATTGTAATCTTTTTCATTACATATAACCCATAGACCGAACCGAACCGGTTCAAGGAAGCATAGTAGGTCACCTTTGACATTTATCACTTAGAGAGAGTTGGTTCCTCTTTAAAAGAAATGTGCATTTGTTAAGTACGAAGGTTTGTAGTGACACAAACCAACAGAAAACTCTCTTAAGAGGAGAAGTTGAAAAATACCCCAAGCCGAATGCACCAGACACCTCTGTCCAGATTTCTGCGTTGGTCAGGGAAATTGCTGCATTTGTGCTGACTGTACGTCGCCAGACAATGGCTGACGAAGCCTGTATGAAGAATTTGAGTTTGTGTTTGTATGAGAGTGAGAGAAAGGAAGAGCGAGGCAGTGAGTAATACAGCAACACCAGACCGGACTGTCATGAGACTCCAGTTAGCGCCAATCAGCGGCAGTAAGCTTCGCCGTGCAGCGGATGAATGTGTGTTTTTGCTGGATCTGCACATGAACACACAGGTCAGAGAAGAGGCACAAAGTAAAAGTATGCAGATCCACGACTGTCACACAAACAGCAGTGGCATAAAGCCACTAAATACGCAAGAGACAGAGATCATCTGACTCTCAGCTAATTCATTTAGCACAGAAATAGTTGTAGATTTTCTGAGACCACAATCTTCAGAGGCTGTTCTGAGACGTCAAACACTGATGTTTCCGTGCTTTTTTTTTTTTATCAGAAACTACAAGCCTTATCTTAAAACCACAAAGAAGTGCATGCATATTTTCGTCAAATATTTCTTGTTGCTAATTTATTTTTTGCTGCTTAGTTCTTGGAGCAGCTCAGATTGGGGCAACTTTTTCTTTGCCAAAACACTTTGGAGGTGATTTTTTTGATTGCACAAAAAGCAGATAGCTTTGAAAAATCAGTTGCTTTTTCATAAATCGGAATGTAATAAAGTTCATTTAAAAAAATTTTTCAAAATAATTAATGAGGGTTCAAAATTAAGGCCTTAAAATTTGAAGTTGCTGGACGTTCATTGTAAATTAATTAAATATCCATCGTTAGATTTTTTTCTGACCTTTCTTCTCATTCTCACCTGATGCGCTTCTACTTGCAGAGGGTGTTGTCAGTTTTATAATGTCTTCCGTCTTTAAACAAATCCACTGAAATGTGCTGTTGGTGGTTTCAGCTAAAAAACAACCTGAAATAGAAATCTTTTTTTTTCACATCATCACAGATCTTCCTATTTTTTTTAATCTCAGTCAGTTTTTTTGTGAGTTTTTTCTCAAATTTTGAATAACTTTAAATGAAGAGTGAGTGTTTGTGCAAACTTGTTCGTGTCTAATATATGAAATTGCATTAATAGACAAGAATGTTTGTGTAACTTGAACTAAATGTGTTCATTTATAATAATATGAAAAAATGTTTTATTTTTCCTGTCAGGCAGATAATTAAGTAGAGATTGTTACAGTAAAAACAGCTGACCAAGCGTTATGGAGCTTTCCTGGGGTTGCCGGCTAGCAGAGCAGAGCAATCAGGACATTGTTGAAATGGCTCCTTTTCCAGACACTAAAAACCACCATTGTGTTTTTTAAGTGCTTTGACTGTTTTTAGAAGCAGTAGAAAGTTGCCCTCAATTCTTCTTCATAAGTTTTCATGTGATTTCCTTCAATGGATCTTGGTGCAGCGCCACCACAGACGTGGAGGGGAACAGGTTTTTCAAACTGTTCGGTTTGTTTGACACAGTGCACTGTGAAAGCTGAAAATGTAGCAAATGCTTAAAATTTGGTCACCAATTGAACCGAGTCTACCAGACTATCAGGCGTTAAAACTCCCTTAATGAATGAAATAATAATTTAAAAACTGCTTTTTTTTGTCTGAACAACATTCTGGAAATTAAAATTTCCAGGATTTAAATTTTCCAGTGTTCGAATCCTGGAAAGTTTGATGTTTCTGTGTCCTGTTTTGCAGTACGGACACAGGGTCGGGTTGTATGGGAAACAGAAAGCAATGCTGATCATTCAGAAGGCATGATTTCTATTAGGCTCTCAAAGATACAAACACGCACACACGCTGACCCTAACACAACAGTGTACATAATGCAGGTGTTTCCTGTTCAGATACGGTGAATCACATTCTCTTCCTCCCCTTTTTTCTGCTGGGTTTCCTTTAACCCACGGCTACCTCCACATCCCTGCAGCAGGAATGGCAGCTATGGAGGAATCTGCCACAAAGGCTTTGAACAGAGGTGGAATCAGCTAAAAGAAATGAATTATTCACACACCAATGAGCTCTTTGGTTTGATTCTTTATTCATATTGAATCTCTTCTTCAGAAAACGCCACGTAAACACTGCCTCGCTCATGTCCGCTCATAAAACAGAGGAAACTGTAGACTAACAAATGGCTGCTGCGTGTTTGCGTGGGCTACCCGGTGTTTCTCCATCTCAGGAGGGAGTTATTTTCAGCTGTCTGTCTGTCCGTGAGTGTAAGTTCCTGAATTAATCAGAGCCTGCTGTTGCAATGGCTGCTGGCAGAACCGTACATTGATTCTGTGGTGCATTAGCCTTCTTAACAAGCTGTAATGAGATTCAAGGCTGCCATTTTAATTTGACCTCTGTGGTCAAAGATTACTTCATGACATTTTGCAGTCTTGTCTCAGATCTTTGTCACTGCACAACTAGAAAGAAAAGAAGAAAAAAAAAACTAATCTTCCCAGAGTGGATGCGGTCACGGTAAATGTTGAGCCAATGCGGTCTTCCTTCTGTTGGATGTTCGCTGAACTGAGTCATCAACTACTGAACCACATGTTCCTCAGTTTGAGGTCAGAATGGATGAAAGCAAATCCTAAATACAGTCTATTTTACTTTCTTCCTTTCTACCTTTTTATTTGCATCCCATTAGCTTTTGTTCCTTCCATCTTTCTGGGGTTCAATATCGACAACAAAGCAACCAAAAACAAGTTTAAAATGAAAGGAACTGCATAATAAATAGATGCGAAATACAGGCTGTAGATCACAAATGAATTATACTATAATGAAAAAAGGAAATTCATTTCATTATATCTATTTACAGAAAACATTTGCAATCAGTATAACATATTATGAGATTAAGAGAAATCATTCATTGTAGTTGTTTTTGCTGTAAATACCGTCTTAAAGTTTTGTTTCTCCAATAACGGTGGACAATGTAGCTGAAAAACATTTCACTATATAAGCTTTTCATGTCAGTTGGTCACCAAAATTGTCAATATTGTTAACTATTGATTAATTATACTTAACTAACAGAAATACTGCAGAACTAGTGGCATTACCTGTTCTGTTTTATCAAGTTATTACTCCACAAAGTTTTTTTTTAGTTTTTTTTAAGCAGTTATGATGCACAGTGGTGAAATCTAAAACATCTAACTTTGACTGCATGTTTATTTTGATAATCATGTACATTTAGTGCTCAGAAATAATTTAGAGTTTATAATCTTTGGTTGTTTTGAAATGATGTTACTTATGAGTAATATTAAAGACATAAATTCAACCTTTAGCCAGGGTAATATGATATGCTGGCATTGCTACTGAAAGCACACCTTAGTGCAAACCAAGCTGCTTTATTTTGAACTACTTGTAGTTTCTGTGTCGTACGTACTGAGACCCCTGACCACACTGATGAAGAGGAATCTGAGACAAAGAGAATAGGTGTTGCACAGTGTAGTGTGAAAGCAAACTGCACCAGCTAAAAATGTAACAAAATGAAACAAGACCTTTGGTTCTACCAAGAGAAGTTTATAGGCTGGCTAGCATATGTACCATTAGCTAAAAGCCTTATTGCTTATTAATTTTCATAAATATCTAATGGGATCCTTAGAAATTATTGTATGTACGTTTGGATTTATTTAGAAAGAAGCCTATTGATTTGCCCTGAATGTTTCTTCTTCTCCTTACTTTTTAATCTTTCACTTCCTGCTGGAAGAGGAGCTCGTCAGCCATATGTCAGATTTTAATTGCCGTCTTCACTGTGGGGAGCTGGAGTTTCTTCTCCACAGACTGCAAATGATTTTGTTTGTAGTTTCAACGAAAAGAGTGAATTTTCTACAAAACAAACCCCAACGTCGTCATCATTTTCCAAACGCCTGTCAGCCTCGACAACTCCTCTGTCTGTTATTGAAGTGTTGTGACGTGAATATTTTCGGATCTGAGGAGCTCATTAGGGCTTTAATGCCACACCATGAGATTCACAACCCAATGTGTGCATTCGGTGAGTCAGTCTACCCGCTCCCGTCTGCTTCACTGAGCCGCGCTCGCCACAGGCCAGAGCTTACGAAACAGTGTCATGATGAATGTGGTGGGAAGATGTGAACCATCATGTCTGTTTTTCCTTCAACCATGTGTTTGAAGGTTTCTGTGTCTCCCATGTTTGATGTCTCGTCTTCTGTTGCTCTGTTTTAGGCCGCTTGCCTTCTTCTGGGCTTTAATCAGTTTCTCATGCCGTCTTGTGATTCCTTGCAACACAGAGAGGGAAGGACTGCAGTTTTGATGATAGCTTCCCTGAATTAATAAGCTGCTTTATAGATAAACACTTCGTTTTTCAAGCTCCGACTCTTGGGCTGCGATCGCACAGCAGGCGCGTGCGACACGCATCCACTTTTTTCCCCCAAATGCGACTTAATGTCTGGATTTTTCACCGCAGTCTAAACGGCCAAATTCTGATCTTTCACCCCCCCAAAAAATAAAAATAAAATAAAAATAAAAAATCAGATCTATATACTGATTACCCCTGTAATCATTTGCCTTTTGTGTGACGTTTATGTTCTTCTTCTGGGTCACATTAGGGTCAAAAACCGTTCACACAGAAGTCTCATTACGTTCGGGTTTAATTAGTAGGATAAATGACCAATACAAAAAAATCTGAACTGAGCATCAAGAGCTGCTGCACTCATTAAGTTTCCTCCTCTGTTTTCCTTCACAGGAGTTAAAGAAGGAAGGGAAGAGAGATGGAGGACAGGTGGGGATGATTAAGTCTGAACTCTCCAACGGCAGGGCCAGCCCGGTGTCGGACACCAGCATGCGACCTGGAAAGAAAGGTGTGCAGCCGTCATTAGGTAGCCTGACGTCTGCCGGCTCACACTTTGATCCTATTAGCGTAACGAAGGATTTGGGTCAAGGATTGCTCACCGCTCTGTTGCTGACATGAACACAGATACGGCAGGACGCAAAGAGGGGTTGGAAAGTACAATGAAAGATGATGTGTCCAGTTACTTCACAATGATGATGAACCCAACATACAGGCTGATTGGGTTCAACAAAACACATTTTGATTACATCAAACATCCATCCATCCATCCATCCATCTGTCCATCCATCCATCCATTTATCTACCTACCCATTTATTTATTCATCCATCCATCTACCTACTCGTTTATTCATCCATACATTCGTCTTTGAGTCTGTATTATCCATCCATCGACTCTTCCTCCATGGGTCCGCTCCCGTCCAACCATTTACCTGTTTGATCCTATTAGCGTAATGATCGATCCATCCATCCATCCATCCATGAGCAAAACGACTATAAATAGGTCTATAAACAATTTCTCGGAGTCTCACACAGAGTGACAGTAAGTAAAATAACACATTTATGAATATAAATAAAGGACAATTAACTTCACTGGTAGGTTTACTCTACTAGTGCAGAACAAATTAAATACCCATTGTCATTATATAGTTTAAATAATAAACTATAGGCTGATTAAAAGCAATAAAAACAAATCCCTTTTAATCCTTGGTGATAAACATTCTGCTCATATTGTGCATAATTGCTTTTCACTGAATGAAAGATAAGCAACAGTGACACCATGTGGTGAAGTAGAGGAACTGCAGGGTCAGGTTTGCATGCCCTCGCTGATGTGAAATGAGTCAAGAGTAATAATGAGACTAATGGATGTAAGGCAAACAACCACGAGGCTATGAAGTCGTGTAGTGGGATCAGTTAAGCTCGGACAGAGAAGTCAGAGAGTCAGGTGTCTAATTAAGGTTTTTATTTCATTTCTTATTAGTTTATTATTGTGTTTGATGCAGGAGAGCAAATCCGTAAGCGAAGATGTAAGGCTTCCTTCAGCTATGCACCTCAGCATGAAGACGAACTGGAGTTGAAAGTCGGAGATGTCATTGAGATCATCGCAGAGGTGAGTCGTCTTTTGAACATTTAAACAACAAAAGAGATGGAAAATTTCAGAAATATGAAAACATAAAAAAGATCCTGCACCTTTTTGGTACCCATGTCAAAGACATATTTTGTAAATCTAATCAGAATTAACATTTTAGTGGATTTTCTTCATACTGTTGCTGCCTCTTTACCTTCAATTTACTTGCATTTCTAAAAGGCGACCAAATTCTTAACTAATTCTCTTTTTCTTAAATCTAAACATAAAAATGGAGTTCAGAACACCTTACCTTCTAAAAGCAAGCAATGGCGCTAACCCTAACCCTCATCATCAAAAAATCCCAACATTCTGGCTCTGTCTAAACAAGGAAGTTAACTCAGTAATAAAATTGTGCAGATAGTTCAGTTTCTAGTAGGATTGCATAAAATGAGAAGTCTCCCACTGCAGATCACAAAGAAATTGTAAAATTCTACTAATAGAAAAAATCAGCACGGATAGTTTCATGGAGAAATGGCGACCTCTGGTGAATCAACCCTAACCCATTCACTGCAGCCGCTTTAATCAAACTCTAGTTTGTTTGTCTGGAAAGTCCGGTTCGTTTGGGGGGAGTCGATGTGTAATCAAACTCTGGTCAGCCTAAATACTTCAAATTCATATATGAACACCAAGCTGACCGAAGGAAGGAGAAAGCAGACTACAGCGCAGGGCATTCTGGGTAAATACGACTAAAACAAACGTCACAATCTAGTGCTACAGGGGGAAATGGCTTGTGTTTTTTGGGGGGAGGGTGGGGTTAACCAAAGAGAAATCCTCCAAAAGCATTTAAAATCTGTCGCCACTTCTTCCTCTTCTGTTTTTAATGGCACTACTTCCATGTTCCTGCTCATCATTCCCGTTGCTCAAATTCTCCAAATCCAGTATTATTTTCTTTCCCTCATTACTATTCAACTAACCTATCACTAAAATCATGTCATTTCTTTCTGTAGTTGTTAGTGCAGCGCCACCACAGGCGAGGAGGGGAACAGATTTTTCAATTACAGTTGACAGTGCTGTTATTCAGAGCCGTTTCAGTCAAAATTAAACAAATTAATCAGTTCATAAATAAGTAAACATATACATGTATTTATTTATTTATGTTTTCTTTTGTAGGGGTCTTTTGCTGAGTATTTATTACCCAATTGATGTAATTGGGTATTTATTACCCAATTACAGACGCACCTCCGAACATGAACACAGATCATTTTATAACTCAGATTTTGTAATTGCACTAATGTAAATATCAACTATATTTTTTTCTGTTTTGTAATCTTAAAAGAAAAAAACACAATGATGAGTTTTAAAGTTTGTTGGAACCACAAATACAATAATTTTTAAAATCTGTACCTAAGAATTAACCAAAATACGAAAATAACTAAAACTACTACAACTAATACAAACTAAACTATATTTAACTAATAAAAACTAAGAAAAACTAGCAAACGCAGTCTAAAAATTTATTAAAACAAATTAGACAAACAAAAAAGTTACAACAAAATAAAACTAAACTGTAATGAACATTGGTTAACCTAAAATCTGTTTCTGTTTAGAGTTGAATGCCTCACATGGAGTTTTGTTGTTGGGTTTTTCTGGTGTTTAGGTGGAGGAGGGATGGTGGGAAGGGCTTCTTAATGGGAAGATTGGAATGTTTCCCTCCAATTTCACCAAAGAGATGCTGGCAGATTCAGACGCTCCCTCCCTGGAAACTCCCAACTCACAGGAGGAAATCCACCACAGCCGCACCAGTGAGTCTTAAAAAAAACATGTTTTCCAAGTCTCCTTTATTAAGGCAGCAACCTCTGAAGCTTGAATGGTTTTATAACTCTGTATTTTGTCTCTCTATTCAGGTAAAGACAGTCCTGGCAGTGAAAGCGATGGAGGAGACAGTCGGTCAGAATCAGGATCAGAAATCCAACCCAAGAAGGTAAAAAGTCTTTTTTTAATTTTTTTTTAACTCAAAAACACAAATACACCCAGAAAACACCAGACGGACTACAGTGGATTATTCTGTGGAATGTAACTCCAATATATTTGTGCAAAATTATTTTAATTTGGGATTATTTCTTATTAAAAATATTCAAAAGAAAACGCAGCTTGGGAAATTAAGCTACCTAGCCACAATGCTAGTTGATGCGCCATTGGCTGGAATTTACACAGCAGCCAATCCAGAAGCACCATTTGTTTTCTTTGACACGAGTTAGCATTAGCATCAAGCTAAAGGGAGACTGTGGATGTTAGCTTCTCCAGTAGCACTAAGGTGGTTTCCATTTTTAAAAAAACATTTGTTTTTTCTTGTATCAAGATGGTCGACTGTCTTTCCAAAACATAAAAGGGGGAAATTTTTATAATGTTCCAAATTTAAAACCAGAATCACATAGTTACAGCGTGTTCCACATTATTATCCAAATTGGATTTAAGTGTCATAAAGATAAATATTTTATTGTGCTATTAAATTTCTAGATGTTATTGTGTGTCAAGGCTCTTTGAATCACTTTAATTAATATCAGAGAATTGGTTGATTAATTTGTCTGCTGAGCTCAATTAAAAGAAATCTACTTCAGAAGGATGTTCCACATTATTAAGCAGGCCACAGGTTTCAAGCAATATGGGAAAGAGAAAGGATCTCTGCTGACAAAAATCATCAGATACTGTAGAGCCATATGACAAGGTATGAAAATATTAGATATTTAATGAAAACTGAAGCGTTATGATTGTACTGTGAAGAGATCTGTGGCTGATTCAGAACAAAGATGGGTTTGTACAGATAAAGGCACAATGAGGAAGGTTTCTTTAAGACAAATTCATTGGATTAAGAGAGCAGCTGTTAAAATGCCCTTACAAAGCAGCAAAGCTGCCGGTGCCTCTGGTGCCGCAAGGCGGAGGACCCTCCAGAGGCTTGCGGTGCATGAACCTACTATAGGCCCCCCTTAACCAGCTCACAAGCAGAAATGGTCGGAGGAGCAGAATTGATTATTTTTCTTGCATATTTTTACAGATTCAGGGGATTGGCTTCGGTAACATCTTCAAAGACCAGCCCATCAAGCTCCGGCCACGCTCCGTGGATCTGGATTCAGACAAGGTAAGCTGCATCGTCACGTGTTTCCTTCCCCTTAGAGGATGTCCTATTGAATCACCTTCACTTCCTGAAACATAATTATCTAAAACTGTGAACATCTATATTCAATAAATATACTTAGCACACATTAAAAATGCATTTTTTACAACATAAGCTCTTTATTTTTTTTGGAAGAAAGTCTTACATTTAGCTCCTCCCAATTCTCTCTTTCTCAGTTTCACAGCACAGGAAGTGGTTTTATGTTAACACACACACACACACACACCCCCACACACACACACACACACACACACACACACACACACACACACACACACACACACACACACACACACTCACAGACATCCTGCAGGGATTTGACAAGCAAAGCAGAAGTGAGAGCTCTGCAGCGCACATTTAGAGCGACGGAGAGAGAGTGGAGGGGAAATAATACGGCTTTTCAGTCTGCTTTACATGCTCACATGTTCTACTGCTGCCTCTGCGCTGATGCACCAAAGCTCCAACTTAAACCGAACCAGAACCGACGGTAGGCTCTGGCTTTTTCTGTCTCCTCTCCTCCGTCTTTCTACTCTTTCTCACCTTTCTTTTTAAAATTTACTCCACTTCTCAATGCCTCTATTGGACTTTCTTTGTTTAAAAAAAAAGAGATTGGAAGTTGGTGATATTGCGTTCCTTCTCCGCTGAAGGTTGTGTATATACTTTTGATTGAAAATGAGGAAACAAGAAATACTAAATGAGCAACCATTCTGTATAGAAAAATAACAAAAAATACAAAATAGAACAAAAATAACCTAAAAATAGAGTTCATTTAATTGGTTTAAGTTAAAACATTTATGACTAAAATGAGGATTTTGACTATTCTATGCAGTTTTATTGCACTAAAAAATAATATTTTGCGTGTAAACGTGCCACTTGGCCTCATTCTCAGTCACATAAACTAACACAAAGGCCTCGTTTTTCCACTAATAATAAAACACACCAGATTAGATCTGCTGCTTATTTAGCAGTTTGTTCATCCAAACTTCATAAAACAGATTAAAAAGTTGATATATTTACAGTTTGGGTGAAAGGAGCATAGCTGTTTTTTGCTAAAAGTGCAATGCAAAATCACAAAATCCAGTATTTTTGGTCTGGTTTCTACTGCAAACATCTTATTACACTTTAAATAAGACAAATTAACTTAAAAGTAACTATTCAGGAACATATACAGGATTGTTTAGAGTAAATAATTCCTTAATATTGATGAAAAAGTTCGAGTTCAATTGGCAGATTATTTAACATTTAACAAGATATTTTCCCCATCTTTTAAGTTAATTTATCTGCCACTAGAACTAGAACTTTTTCATTAATATTAAGGAATTATTCACTTCACACAAGCCTCTATGTATTGCTAAAACATGTTTTTTTTTTAAACAAATTTTGTCTCATTTGAAGATATTTGGACTCGGGAAATTCATACAATGAAGTGAACAAAAGGCAAAGTGAAGCTAAAACTCTTAAACCTTTTCAAAGGAATGATCCCTAAAAGCTGCTACTGGTCATCAGGGCTTCCTGTGGAGCAGTTTGTGTGTCTGAAGGATGTTTGCGCGCCTTTCCCGCTGCGTGTGTTATTTTACGGTGAGTCGAGACTTTCTGCTCCCTAATGAGGCGACGGGAGGCGGGGGAGCGGCTCCATCCCGCTGAGTCACTCTGGAGCAGATCTGGAAGGTCAACTGACCCTGATGTTTGAGATCGGGCTGCACACGCCTCAGACGGCAAATGTCAGCCCCATTAAGTGATCTAGAATGGACCACGAATGCATCATGATGGACATTTTTCATTGATTTTTAAAAGCAGATGACGAATTTGAAGCAAAACTTTTTCTAAAAAACAGGAAGTGAGTATTTGTCATCTGGATCCAGTTGACTTTGGCTGCAGGAAGAACACAGACTGTTTTCATGATTAAAAACTATTTATTAAAGCTGCAGTATTAGATTTTTTGCATTAGCAATTAGCAAAGATAAAGTTCTGTTTGGTGTTTTTTGGTCTCAAATAGCTTTTTTTGAAGGGCATTTTTATTTAGAGAGACTTTATAATAAGTTATATTTGTTGTTTTGGTTGTATTGTTTATTTATTTTGGATATTTAAAATGTCTTCCAGTTCCAGCTTAAAGTTTTGATTGAAATTTAAAGTTTATTGATTTTTGAGACCATTTCTTGCATTACTATTATATTACTTGAAAATGATCTCAAAGCAGCAATATTATCGTTTATCGCAATAACTAATGAGGCAATTAATCGTTTATTTGTTGAAACTATAACCATGTCAGGGAATTTATTATGAGACAGATTATTTGTGAAAAGCATAATCTTTGGGGAGTTTCATGCTGTTTCCTTCAGTGGTTCTTGGTGCAGCGCCCCCACAGGCGAGGAGGGGAACAGGTTTTCCTAAGAGTTTGGTTTGAACCACAGCAGCTGGAAATGTAACAAATGTCACAGTTCTGGTCCCAAATTGAACCAAATCTACCGACCCGTTTGTTGTGAAAACATCCGGACTTTAGACGGACTTATTGAGTCAGAATAATGATTTCATTTCTCTATTACAATCATATAACTCAGTCATAAGCTAAACATAACCTGGTCATGTGGAAAAAAGGGAGACTTACAGAGTCACTGCATGTCTCAGATGATCAGGCTGTTTTGGTGACACGGTTGCTTAGAGGAATGTGTCGATGCCTGACAATGCTGGTCAGAACTGGAGCAGAACTGGAGCCGAAGCTACGACATCTTAGTGTTTTGTGTCACTTCTTTTGCGTGACAAGCATGTCTCCGGTTTGATAGGTCTCCGATCTACCACCGACAGACAACCAGATCAATTTTCACCTTATAATCTCAGATTTCATGTGGAGACTATCATATTTTGTCTTTCGGTGAACATTATGTTATGAATTGGTGCTTCATTTCGCTTCTTCTTTTATGTAGTTTTTCAAATTTCTCAATGTTTGCTACACTTTTAAATAAAAAACAGCATGAAAATTGTGACATGCATTTTAATTTGTGTACTTTCTCAGCAAAGTCTTTTATTTTGCTAGATTTTCACTTATTTTCTATCTGTGAAACAGACAGAAAATCAGCAATCATAGTGAAATATAGATTTAAATTGAAGCATTATAAGAAGTCCTAAAATATAAAATGTTATTTCTGGTAAAGGGAAAAGGTACATTTACAGAGACAGAGACCCTCTTGTCTGACTCAAAAGGGAAATTGACTCAAACTCTGCAAGTTGCAAAACTGTTTTGCATCTTGCAAAATGTAAAAAGTGTTTGTGTTTGCTTTCAACAAACATCTTTTTGTTTTCTTCCCTCCAGAGATCTGGAGGTTCATCCAAATGCAGCTTAATTCATGCTAGCATCTTATTTTCAGAGAAGAGGCTTTCTCATTGTAATTCTTCTGAATGTGACCTACAATTGTTTAGCTCAGGCGACATTGTGGGCCCCAGACTTAAAGGAAAGGTTAAGAGTCCTTTCAATGTGTTTGAAGGAAAACTGGAAACTGTCATTGGCTTTAACTATCAAGTTGTCAATATAACGCGCAAAATATTAAATGTACAACACTATGATAACTAAATAACAGGGTCAGAAAAAGTTTTAATTGAGGGAGGGGGAAGTAGCTCAATTGTGCTAGCTAGCTTGACTTTGACAACGTTAGCATGTAGATGTGATGTGGAATTCGGTGTGTTTCAGTTCAGATATAAAAAAATAAAAAAGGCCACCTGCACACCAACTCTCAGAGTATCAGCAGCGCAGGTGTTTAAATTAGCTTATCAACCACCACTGTGTTAGCTTAGCTAATTGCTGTGGTAGATTAGCTAGCTGCTATCACTTTTCAATAAACGCAAAATAAACATCAGGCCTAAAAATGCAATACTGTAACGGACTGAATGTTTGTTGTGGGAAATGTTTGCGTGTTTTTTGGTGTTGAGTCCTGATACGGTGTAGTCAGTTGCTATGGCAACGAGTCCGAGGGTACCGGAGCCGACACAGAGAATGAGGAAAAAAAGTGATTTTGAGTTGTTTTTCAGCGATTATTTTTGCATTTGTGATGCATAAAGCAAAATTAATGACACTTGCATCTTCAGGTTTCGTTTAGTTAACGGGATTGTTCTACAGCGGCAGCGCGGCTACGGAAAGAAAGGAAAACAATCGTCTCTGTTGTTTGTGTTGGGGATATGGCCAGCAGCTTATTTGGATTTAAAGTGACCTGTGATTTGTGATTTGCATGTGTCCTGCCAATCACATTAGTTCCCGCAGCTAGCTGCGTTCTTCATCGACGCACGAGCCGAGTGATCCACCGCTAAGAGTTGTCTGCTGTGAGGTTTTGACGGGACAAGCTCAGAGACGAGAGGGTTTCGACGAGGGCTTCTGTCCTGCAGTTTTTAGACGTACAAAACACTGGAATGAAATGGCTTAATTACCTCCTCCTTGTGTAGATCAGTTCTAATGACCAAATTATTCTACTTAGGTGTGGTGCAGCTGAGGCACATCTAAAAGTTGCAGGGCAGTGGCCTGAAAATGTGACACCTGTGCCCTAAAACAACTTAAAAAATCACACCTGAGCTTAAATTTGTGTAAGAAAATGTAACAAACATCTTTTGTATTGCCTGTATACAATCACCTTTAATGCAACCAAACCTGAAAGTTGATCATTCTGACTCCGTAATACAAGAAGAATCTTTTTGAGTGTTAGAACCTTTCACTTCCAGAGCAGAAAACATCATGGCTAAAATATGAGCTTCAAAGCTTCAAAACTGCTGTTTGCTGATAGGTGAAGGTTTAACAATGTCTAAACATCAGCCCCTCATTGCACCATCACCTTCAACAGTCTGAACCTCAAGCCACTTCTGCTTTGTGGGAACTAAGTCACAAACACTTTACTCTGAACTTCTTGCTTTAAGAAAGCAAAATGCAGGATGTTCTTCCTGCCGCAGCAGTAAAAGACGTTCCACCTGCTGAGAGCCGTGTCCTACTTTATCTCCTCTGCTGCCACTGCCAAGAACGAACACAATCTGCAGCGTATCGATTGGCTGCAACCTGCCGTCATGCTGCCAAGGTGACCCAACCCGAACATCAAACTGTCAGATTTTGGATTTCAGGTCCAGAATCTGTCACAGAAATTCTGTTTTTACCAGCGGACAATAATATGTACAAAAGAAACGCAGAGTTCCTGTAAATCATGCCTAAAAACCCAATTATAACCGGATCATTGATGGTATTGTGAGAAGATGTAATGTTTATTCCTGTTTCTTAATTGGTTACTGTATTATTCTTATGGCACTTTGAACTTTTCTAGACGTAAATGAAGGATTTGATGGAAATGAAGAGGAAAGGATTTTATTTCCACACGTCTTTTTTATTCCTAGTAGTCTGTCCGTCCATCCATCCATCCGTCCGTCCGTCCATCCGTCCGTCCATCTGTCCATCCATCCATCCATCCATCCATCCATCCATCCATCCATCCATCCATCCATCCGTCCGTCCATCTGTCCATCCATCCATCCATCCATCCATCCATCCATCCATCCATCCATCCATCCATCCATCCGTCCGTCCATCTGTCATCCATCCATCCATCCATCCGTCCGTCCATCCATCCGTCTATCCATCCATCCATCCATCCATCCATCCATCCATCCATCCGTCCGTCCATCCATCCATCCGTCCGTCCATCTGTCCATCCATCCATCCATCCATCCGTCCGTCCATCCATCCGTCTATCCATCCATCCATCCATCCATCCATCCGTCCATCCGTCCATCCGTCCGTCCGTCCATCCATCCATCCATCCATCCATCCGTCCATCCGTCCATCTGTCCATCCATCCATCCATCCGTCCGTCCGTCCGTCCGTCCGTCCGTCCGTCCTTCCATCCATCCATCCATCCATCCATCCATCCGTCCGTCCATCCATCCGTCTATCCATCCATCCATCCATCCATCCGTCCATCCGTCCGTCCGTCCATCCATCCATCCATCCATCCGTCCGTCCATCCATCCGTCTATCCATCATCCATCCATCCATCCATCCATCCGTCCATCCATCCATCCATCCATCCGTCCACCCATCCGTCCATCCGTCCGTCCGTCCGTCCGTCCGTCCGTCCATCCATCCATCCATCCATCCATCCATCCATCCATCCGTCCATCCGTCCATCCTGGTCTCTGTTTATGTCCTTTGTTTTAAGTTTTGCCATCACTTTGTTCAAACACTTCAGTTTCCAAAGTCTTTTTATTTTTTAAGCTTTATTTACGTCATCATTTATGACATGTCTTTCTGTAAACTTTGTCGTCTATTCTTGATCCTTAATTTATCTACAATTTGCCTTCTTATGTTTAGAGGAAATAACCGGCTGAGTCTTGCTAACAAGACTTAAAACATTTTCAGAGTAAAAGCCTATGAACCAGTGAGAAGTGTAAAGATTTTACTGGTGAAAAATTGAATCTCCCACTCATCCCACCTGGCCTTGAAAAGTCTCCCCCATCAATCCTGCGCCGGCGTTTCGGCTGCTATCAGTATGCGACAGCTGGATGTTGACTCCTCTCTGCTGCAGTGATGCCTCACAGCTCGCACCTCCACATGCGTCTCATTAGGGAGGGAATGAGGAAGAGGAGGGAGGGAGAGAGGGAGGAAGTGTTGAAGGGAGAGGTTGGGCAGAACAGAGGCGTGTGTGTGTTCAGACAGACTGCGTGCTGTGAATGTGTGTGTTTTCCTGGGGAAGAGCCACCCTGGTTCCACAAACACCACCGAGGGATCCACTCCAGCTGGGGAACAACGGTGGCTTTAACGCTCTTCGTCAGCAAGTCGGCCGCTTGGTTTATGCGTTGAATCTATTCATAGGATGCAAGGGTGTTCATGGGAGAAACTAAATGTATTTAGGTACGTTTTAATATTTATATTTTTTGAGAAAGTGTGAATGATCGGGTTGGAAGATTGAGAGAAAACAAACTTATTTAGGATCCAGAAACTTCTGCTTCATCAGGAACATCAGATATTAGTTTGATGCACATTATATGAGTTGATTCATAAATTAGTTGATGTGTAAAAATCCCAGGAACTTGATGAAAGACAGGAAATCTACAGATTTGAAATGTATCTGATTGGTGTCTCTGCAACACAAGGGGAAGAAACTACCCATATATTTCATTTGTTCATTTGTTCTCCATTATGTCAATGCTAACTTTGTTGTTTTGCATTTGCTAAGTGTGAAATATTGCTCTACATAAGTGCTACTGTGCACCATGTTGGTAGACTTGTGTAAATTGTGAAGCACATTGGTCAACTTTTGTTGTTTTTAAACATGCTATAGAAATAAATCTGTCATTAGCATGCTAATTAATTAGCTTTAGTTGTCTTGGAAAGATAGCATTTTGTCTTTAGCATTGATATATACTGCCTTAATGCACTGACGTTTAATTGTTGAACACCTCCTTCAGTCTTTTTCTGGACACATAATTCCTGTCTTAACTGAGGTTAAATAGCTAATATTAGCATTAGCATTGTTGCTGTTAACCGTTTGCTAGCTCTAAAATGCCAAATTATTTAAAATTTAGCATGCTAAAGACAGCATTGCAAAATCTGAAATTCCCTTCTAGATCATCTTAACTCTCAAGCCAAAAGTTTCATAATTAAAAAAAAACAGACCTTTTTGTTTTTTTTAAACGAAAAAATATAAATATATTTTATATAGCCAACAACCACAATAATTGTTAGAATGTAGCCCTCCTGCTACATTTAATGAATGATTTCATGATGTATTAATTTCCTCGGATGCAGATTTATAATTACTTTTGCTGGTGAGGAGAAATGGATTGCAGGTCTATTTTTGCTGAATCACTGATGCCTTGTTTACGCACCACAACACTAACAACACATTCTGCAGACTGGGTACTGCGACAAGCACAGGAAATCTCAAACCACTTCAACCTGCTGTGTCTGGGTTTGTTGGAAACTAAAGGTTTCCTGTCATCTTTCTGCTCCTCAGGGCAACGAAGGAAAAGACGCAAGTGTAGCAGCTGAAACCATGAAGACCGAACCTGATGGCAAAGCTAATGGTGAGAACTTCCTGTTACAACAAACTATTCTCCTAAATTTCTCAAACATTGCTTGCATTAAATCCTTTTAACTTTTAATACATTTCCTTATCGCTTCCTTTATTTGTAGTGCAGGTTTCCTTTCATTCTAATAGACTATTGTTTCTTATCGTCATCACTTCTAACGTTGGTGTTTTGCTTGTGGAAAGGACTGGGATTCTAGATTTTCAATAGCAAAGCATTGTGTAAGAAAAGAAAAACAGGAACACAGTATTAATATTTTCCAAAATCAAGGAGCTGAATACAGTCACTTCAAATCTACAAATAGAAATGTCTCATGGAAATTATTTGAGTGAACTACTAAAGGGAAGTAATGCGCAAAATTTATATTTTGAACATTTTGTATTTTCATTTGCGTCTTAACTGCTTCTAAAAACACCTAACAAAAACCAGCAAACTGTTTATTTGGCAGTAAGTTAATGTTTTTTGGAGTATGGAAAACTTCCTGAATGCAATGCTGCAAACCACCAGGCGCCGACCGTTACAGAACGGAACAGAACTCTGTTCCCTCACATTAGCTCAGTACAATGGCTGCTGGAAAAGACGAGTGAATCTTTCAGGATGTGCAACTTTCTGACACGATTCCAGAGGATTTATTATTCACTAACTATTGATTTATTTATGCTTGTTTTCATTGGCTGCCAGTGCGGGAGCAGTGTAAGGTCCTTTTCCCATATGAAGCACAAAATGAAGACGAGCTGACGCTGAAAGAAGGGGACATCATCAATATTATCACAAAGGTGAGGGCAGCTTTTGGGTTCACAATTGGAGGTAGGCTTGGATGATATGGACTTTTATTACAATATAAGTGTCACAGCAATTATGGCCCCACAAACACAAATACTGCTCCAGAAGAACATTCTCACTGGTGATATGCTTCTTTAGGACACTACACTGCAAAAACAGAAAGTCTTACCAGGTATTTTTGGTGTGGTTCCCATTGCAAATATCAAAGTACACTTGAAATAAGACAAAATGAACTTATATGTAACTTTTCAGCAATATAGGAGCTTGTTTAAAGTCAATAATTCCTTAATATTGATGAACAAATACTAGTTCCACTGGCAGATTATTTCACTTATAACAAAACTGTTTTCCTCTCTAATAAGTGAAATAATTTGCCAGTTGAACAAAACCTTTTTTTATCAAGATAATATTAAAATAGCCTATGTCTTCTGAAAAGTTACTTTTGTCTTCATTCAAGTTCTTTGCACAAGAAATTGGCCAAAAATACTTGGTAAAATTTTGTGTTTTTTCAGTGCAGTGTCATTAAAAAGTGTGATGCAGTGTCATTAAAAAGTGTGATTTGCATCATTAAACTGCACACAGTGACTGTATCCAATCATATTTTCCAAATGTATTGGTATTTATTGATGTTTCATTATCAAACAGTGGAGAAAAGAGTAAAAGATAAGGATAGTTTTGGGATTTTTCAAACATTGTTAATTGGAATTCATCTTGACAATGATAAATCTAAATTCTTATCATGGTAAGAAGTTTTGTGGCAAACAATATGATAAATTCCCGCTCCTGGTTGTCAATAATAACAATAATAACAGCAATATTTTCTCTTACAGGAATGTGCCGATGCAGGTTGGTGGATGGGGGAGATCGGTGGGAGGCAAGGTGTCTTCCCAGATAACTTTGTCAAACTGCTTGAAGTTGAGAAAGAGGTGATTGTGACATTTATTTAAAACACAGAAATGCTTTTCTCTCAACTTACCCACTTAAATCTGTGTCTCCAGAGACCAAAGAAACCGCCGCCACCCATCGCTCCATCAGCCAAACACACCACAGGTTAATATCTCAGTTTTGCTTTCATCTGTTTATTGTTTGGTTGAAGTCAAAGCTTTAAACTTTAACCTGTAGAGAAAAAATCAGAAGCGAAGAAGGTTCCTCCAGAGCGGCCTGAGCATCTGCCTCAAAGAGACCCGGATCGAGGTAAAACCTGGTCTGCTTCGACCCGCGCCGGCCCGCTTTCACTGCAGCTTTCTACTGCTCTCAAACTTCCTACTGATCTCTTTCAAATCAAACTGAGACCGATTGAAACTTCACTTCCAGCTTTTTTCTTCCATCCTTGTGCAAAGTGACAGAGCTCTAATTGAGAAAACTTATCAGCATCTGTCTGCACTCAACAGGAAGCTGCAGGCTCTGTGGTTTGATGCTTGTCAAACTCTGGTACCGTCATCACTGCTGGTGCAAGACAGATGCTTCCACTTTTCACCACAATGTTGCGGCCAGAAAGAATAATTCTGCAAAACTCTTAAATGCATCAACAATTTCTTAAATTACATTCACACTGACTACTAGTTTCTAGTGCAAAAATCTTAGTAAAGTTGAAATAAAACAAAAATAACTCACAGGTAACTTTTCAGCAAGATATAAGAGCTTGTTTTAAGTTATAATTCCATAAATTTAATTCAATAACCTTGTCGTGAAACTAATATGTTTTCACTCAATATTAAGGAATTATAACTTAAAATAAGTTTCTACAGATTGCAGAAAAGTTTCTTGTGGATTATTTTTCTTATTTCAAGTTTATTAAGATGCTTGCTCTCGAAACTAGACAGAAATATTTGGTAAGAGTTTATGTTGCTGTAAATGAAATAATCATTTAGTGGCACTAGTGCTTTTCTATCAGTGTTAAGGAATTATTTAGTTAAAACAAGCTCCTATTTCTTGCTTCAAAGTTTATTTTAAATAAGTTTTGTCTTCTTTCAAGTGTAGAGAAATATTTGCACTTGAAACTGGACTTGGTAAGAATTTGTGTTTTTGAAGCGTAGTGATGTCTGTACTTCTTTTTTTAGTTTGTCTTTTCACATCTGAACTGGCGGTATTTGTTTGTTTTTATGATTTGTAGTTTTGCTTATGGCAGTACTACAAATCCACAAATCAAGTAACCATTAACTTCAGCTTGTCTTGCAGAACTGTGAAACAAAACTACTTTTTAAGCTGGTTAACTGTATGATTAGGCAAATCAAATTCAAATATTCTTGTCAGCTTATTTGTTACTTGAATCTTCATAGCATTTAATAAACACTTCCTTAAAAACGGAGGTTTCAACATTAACAGTTAGAGACTGCTAGAAAGGTTATTGTGTCACACTTCGAAGCTGGAAACCTCAGATTAAGCTGACAAATTTATATTTGACTTGCATAAGCTATTATTTAAGTAAAGTTATTGAAGCAGTTCAAGTTAATGTTTATGAATAACTTACAGCATGAAAAGGTCTTTAAACCGTTAAATTTAAAAAAAACTTGGAAAAGACTTTGAAAAGAAAACAAAGCAACTTATTTGATTTACATCATAAGGACAAAAAAAAATTTAAAAACAGAAAAACCATAAATTAATAAAAACAGAAATATAGATTAAAAAAGTTGTATGGTTGCTATATTTTTTAATAACCCACTTCACCTTATGCTGTCCTGGTCAAATAGAAGCACTGAATAGAAAGAGGAAGCAGTCAAAGTCCAAAGATAAACCGTTAAAGATTCTCAGGAAACTATTGACGTTGTCTTGTAATAAATCTTCTAAAAATGAAACAAGAAAGTCTGGTGTTAAACACACCAAGAATACAGTAGCTTTGTCTTCGCAGTGCAAGTTGGAGTCAGTTTCTCACTGTTAGAAATTATAAAAATATATGTTTATAAAGACAAAAACTGAATTGAATGTTTTTAAGAACATTATGTCTTGCAGAATCAAAAGCATGGAAGTGAACTCTTGGTTATTTGTGACATAACTTTCACATAGTAAACATTGTATATCAGTGGGGCTTCAAGCTGAGGAAAAGCGCACACATCTCCATATTGCGCCAAAGTTCAGCAACCGTGTTTGCTAGGATACTAGAGAAAGTTGTGATATTTTTTTCAGGCTGCATGTGCATCGCTAAATAAAGCTTTCAGGTTTTCAAAGTTAGAACTCCAGTGTTTTTAGTAAGCAAGTAAGAAGGAGAAAAGTAAATAAAATAAAGCAGCATTAATGGTGGATATAATAAAACATTTAAAAAAGAACATGCTAAGAATCCAGATGTAATTGGATTTTATTTGTTCCTACTCCTTCTGACAGCATTTACTGAACTATTCTTATGAAGTAATGTGCCAGGCTAGATTATTGAACAAGATGTTCACACCGAGTACACCTCGTTCTGCACAGAAATCCCTTCCAAATGCATCGCCTCATGCATCAGAAACTTGCGGCATTTCCTCCTCCACAGCTGAAACTGATGCAGAAACATCCTACAGGTACATTAAGCAAAAGACATTTCACAGATTGTGTCAGATGTAGCACCAGTGGGAAGTGCTGTGGTTGAATAACTGTAAAGAGAGGGGGCAAATGTATTTGAATCACTATGATTACATTCACTTTATAAAGGAGTAAAAATTAAGTCAGTTTTTCTTCTTTTTGTTGATTGATTGGTCAGGGAGTACAGCAATGAGAAGGTAATCAAATGACCAATTTTTCTATTTAAATAGGATAGAGGATAGAAATTAGCATTTTGGAAATTCTAATGGAATTTAGTCCATAAAATAATCTCACATATGCTGGAAATTATGACCATTTCTTCAAACTCTGTTGAATTAATCTACTATATTGTAAATTTGAAACTTTGGTGGGTTCTACTTTTCTGTAATTGTGAATTCAAAATGTCTGCTCATCCTTAAAAAGTAATAAATTCTTGAATCTAAAATTAAGATCTTAAAATATCTTAAATTCAGTTAAAATGGTAAGTTGGCCTTAAGTAGGTCTTAGAGTTTGTGGTGGCAGAACTATTTAATCTCACATATTCTACCTTTTTTTTTTTCTAGTGGAGCTTTTTTGACTGGACAATGTTAAGGCTACCGCTAACTAGCTGCTAATATATTCTTGCTAGCTACCAAAGTATATTAGCAGCTATGTTAGCAGGGACAATTGAATCTGGTTAGTGCAGTGGAAATGGAAGGGGGAGAAAAACTATCCAGCTAGCTAAGAAAAGCAAGTTAGCTAAAAAGAAAAAGAAAGCTAGCTAGCTAAAACAAAAGCATAATAGCTAGCTGGGCAGGTAGCTTTTCTGTGTCTTTCCTGGTTTATAATGATGCTAAATTTAAAAAAAAGTGACACTACAGAGTTTTTAGCTGTTAATTTAGTAAATTTCTGCTGTCATACACATTAAATTAATTCAAAAATGATCTTAAAAAGTATTTAATTTGAGTTGGCACAATCTGCAAAAACTTGTATGAGAAATCTGATGATAGATCCACGTCTGGGTTCGGCTTACTGAGCTGTATTAGAACGGATCTCTTGGTTTGTGTTTGGACTGATAACATCTCAGAACGTCTGCTGCTCCCACCTCTCTCCCTTTTCTTAATCCTCACTGCAACAACACAAACTGCAAGTATATTTAGTTTAGTTTCTACTGCAAATATTTTTCTACACTTGAAATAAGTCAAGTGTAAAAAAAAATAACATCTCAGCAAGGTGTAATAGCTTGTTTTAAGTCAATTACTTAAAATTGATGAAAAAGCTCTCCATTCTCAGATTATTTCACTTATAACAATGCATTTTTCTGTTTTAAGTGAAATAATCTGCTCCTATATCTGGCTGAAAAGTTACTTATAAGTTAGGTTTGTCTTATTTCTAGTATATTAAATGTTTGCACTAGAAATATGACTGAAAATACTTTTTGCGTTTTTGCAGTGTGCTGTTTTCTGTTGCTGTTTTGCCTTTTTCTCCTGCAGCTTCTGGCATCTTTTTTACCTTTTCACTTTTGTTTTTATTCACCTTCAAGGTTCAACTTAAGCTCATAGTTCCAGTATTTACATTTTCTTCACTTGATGGTGATTGCTTATCTTTAGCCTCTATAATTTCTCGTGTGTTTAGGTGAAGAGATGAAGATTGGAGAAATTGTTAAGCCCTCCCTCCCAGCTCACCTTCCCAAGAAACCCCTCCCCCCAAAGTCAAGCTCCTCCTCTTCCTCCCATCCCCCACGGCGTCCAGAGAGGCCGCCTACATTAGCGTCAGTACACACACAGAACCACCAGAACCAGAAATGACCCCTGACCTTCTTAAGCCTAATGCTGTCGTTTGGTTTACCTGCTCAGGTGTGAAAGCCCCAAGTCTGAGGGCGGGGCTTCAACCCCAGATTCTGCCCCTGACAGGTCACAGGCCACTGGTGAGTCTGACTGGCTGGACCATGGAGGACTCACTCCGTCTCTCTCACCTCTGCCTGAACTGAATTTTACCAACATTTTGTCTTTTAATGCAGAAAACTGGATATTTGACCAAGGGTTTCCTCAATAATGCAAAATATAGATAATTGAATTTAATTATGATTACCTTTTGCAACAATATCTCAATAGAATTACCAAATATAATTGTATTAATAATTGAAAAGTATAAAAACACATATGATGTATGAATTAGAAATACTTCAGAGTTTCCCCCAGAAAACTTGCTGAGCCTGTAGTTGGGTGCTAGCAGACCGTCGTGTTTTTGACCGTAAATTTGAAACTATAACTTATTATGCATTATTGGAAGACTGGAAGATTAATACCTGAACACCAACTGTAAAGTATAACTATAAATTAAAAGGCAATAATTAAAAAGAACTCAAATAAACAAATGATAGTAAGTCTGGTAGCCCGCCAGGCTTATAATGCACTGTGGGAAGCTCTGTTATTTATACATAAAATAATAATTTCCGATATTAATTTGATAATGTTATGAGTGACATAAGTGGCATTAGAGCTGCAGTTTGTAAGTTTAAAAATATATTTACTGTAGATATGAGAAGCAAGTTGGAATTTTATTATATGAATTTGTTGACAATGACAATATATTGCTCTTACTGTACACATTTGCCTATATACATATATATGTTTCTTTGTTTTTGCTCCTTTTTTACCTACTAAGGGCTACAGTATGCATCATTTTCTTCCATTATAGGACTTGAAATAAATCGATAACGAACTAGCTAATGAACTAAGTTGACCCCTGATCCCGAATGTGTGTTTCTGTGTTCAGATCTCGACCTGGACTCGGTCGTCTCCTCGACAGAGAAGCTGAGCCACCCGACGGCGTCACGGCCGAGAGTCACAGACCGCCGGCCTCGCTCCCAGATCATCACACCTGTGAGTGTTCAGGAAACCTCAGCCTGAGGTTTCTATTAGGCAACCTGCACAGGCATGAAGCGCATCTCCGAAACTAAAACACACAACAGCTATTTCCAGTTACGTCTCTCACTACATTTATCTCCAATAAATCAGAGTTCAGCTCCAGTTCAGACCAGTGGTGGTAGAGTACTACTCATGAGTAGCACTATGCGACAGAAAAAAGAAAAATAAATGAATAAATAAATTAAATTTACAAAAGTAAACTGGTTTGACATTAAAGTCATAATAGTATGACAGCAAAGTCAAAATAATAAGAGAATAAAATCCTGATACATGCAATATGCTAAAATTTCTTGTTATAAGTGAAATAACCTCAGCTGACTGTTAAGAAATAATTGATTTAAAACAAGCTCCTCTCGGCTGCTGAAAACTTACCTGTAAGTTTGTTTTGTTGTATTTCAAACTGGAGAAAAAGATTTTGGTAAGATTCAGTGTTTTTGTTGGATTCTTGGCTGTTTCTGTAGATTTTCAGCTGCTGTTATTTTCTTTGGCAGTCGTCTCTGTCCAGCACAGAGCTGGACTCTCCAACGGTGGAGGACAGGAAGGACAGGAGGAAAGACGACCAGGAGTCCGTCCCCGTCAAGAAAGGAATCCCAGTCATCCCAGTAAGACCACTGCGCCTCCTCTTGTTTGGTTTGTTCTTCACTTTGCCAGCAGATGGCGCCAAACCATTAATTTTCCTTTTAAAAGTTTATATTTTCCTCCAGTTTTACTCCCTACGGAGGCCCTGAAGTGCAAATATCAACAAATTACTAAACACAACTACAAATCAAAAAGCATATTAAAAAACATTTTTGCTGTGCTACTTAATAACACAACTTATGTTGTGATTTCTCAATGTGTAGTTCTGCACCGTAAAAACACAAAACCTTACCAGGGGATTCTGGTCTAGTTTCTACTGTAGAAATCTTACAATACTTGAAATTAGACAAAATTAACTTCCAAGTAACTTCTCAGCAAGATATAGGAGCTTATTTACATTCATATTAATTACCGTACTTAGTATTAAAAATAACTAGTTCCACTGGCAAATTATTTAACTTGTAACAAGACATTTTTTCCTTGCTATAAGTGAAATAATCTAATAAAACTAATTATTTTTCATCATTATTGACCTAAAATAAACTCCTATATCTTTACGAAAAGTTACTTGGAAGTTAGTTTTGTGTAATTTCAAATACACTAAGATATTTATACTAGAAACTAGACCAGAATCACTTGGTAAGTTTTGTGTTTTTGCAGTGTGCTTAGTTAATGTTGTTGTATTTTCTTAATTGAATATTAGTTATATGCTTTATAATTAAATCCATTATGTTTTCTTTGTTTTCTGTTAATGTATTTATCAAGCAATTATTAATCGGTAATTGTCCTTAGTTAATGTGTTTGTGTTTTTGAATTTGTGTTTCGTGATTTGTTGAAGTGGTTTCTACTTTGGGGCCACCGTAGTTCTCTTCGTCAATAATCTTTTTTGTTTCCACAGGTACATGACATTAAGGCCCCGCTGCCTAAACCCTCCATCCTGCCCCCGCCTAACTCCGGCCACCGCTCCATGTCCCCGTCCTCCTCCTCGGGTCTGACCCCATCCCCGGAGCTCCGGCAGTCGCCGCTCACGCCGACGCCGCCGACGCTGGAGGAACTCAGGAACCAACTGAGAGACTTGAGAGCCTCCATAGAGATGCTGAAGCACCAGCACAGGTGAGGCTGCCTGCTGGGCCTCTTTTTGTTTGGTTTTCTGCCATGGAAGTGAAGACAATCAAACTGTTACTGTGATGCGTTTCAGGCAGGAAATGAAGCACTTAGCCAACGCTTTGGATGAAGAGAAGAAGATACGTGTTAGTTTACAGGTGAGACAGTAAATCTAACATGAACACAGCATGATATCTGTCCATCAGGGTGTTAGCTTCCCACTATGGCATTTTTATTGCAGGCCACAAGACTCAGTTTGGGTCTTATCTCATTCTACGTCGCAATAACAAATTTTCAAAAAGTAGTTTTGTCTAGTTTTTGGTGCAAATGTCTTATTTTTGTCTTTGTTTTACAAATGAAATGTGTGTTTTTCAAATAATGTCTAATTACAACTAATTATAGACCCCTAAAAGGAAATCCTGTTGTATAAGACTTTTTCTTTGTTTAGGTTTTGTTTTGCATATGTGAAATGGTTCTTTCCTTTCAGTCTATTTCCTTAATCTGTAAAAAAAAAAAAAATCTAATGTGTATTACTTTTCTCATAAATTGAGAGGAAGATTTGCTTTTTCCAACATTTCAATGAAGTGCACAATAGAAGAAAATTTTTGGTTTCATTCTACTTAACAATTATGGACCGTTTTTAGTTTTACCGAGGGAATAAGTTTAAAAAAAAGCAAAATTTTGCAAACAATGTTCAATATTAACTAGCATCCTGGTTTTATTTCACAGGTGGAAGTAGAGCACATAAAGAAGAGCCTGTCCAAATGAAGACTGAAGAATCAATTTCTCACCACATCTGAGGCCACATTAAAAAACAAAAAACAAAAAAATGGAAAAAGATTAACTTTCTCACAGTTGGATTTGACATTTCCGCCAAAACTAAGTTTGTGCCAAACGATTGCTACCATCACCAACGGTTCAGCACCATGGATTCAGCTACATTTCCTCCCCTCTGAGCCGCCTTATCCTGCGTTTACTTCTTTCTTTTTTACCTTCTGTTAAAGAGGCTTCTCTGTTTGGTTTACTGCTATCTTCGCTGTGCCACTGGTACAAGGACGCGCCTGGAGCCGCGGCTGCCTGGTACTGTTTTAAGTTTCCCAGAGTGAAGGAAACCTCAGCCTCTGTAGCCTGGTCTGACCAGAAGACCTCTGTGCAGTTCTGCGTCCACTTTGCGGCCTTCACCTCCTGTCTGTGTGTGTGTGTGTATGGGTGTGTGTTTGTATGTTTGTTTTCATGTGATGTGAGGACCTGATGTATTGAGGTTCAAAGGGGGGACATTTTTAGAACCTATATTTCCAATTTATCAAAAATAAAATTCTGAGCACTTAAACTAGTTTAAACCATAAGATTAATTTTTCAAATACAATTCTAAACAGGTGTGTTTTTAATTGAGATTTAAAGGAAGTCAGGGTTTCCGCTGTTTTACAGTTTTCTGGAAGTTTGTTCCAAATTTTTGGTGCATAGATGCTGAAAGCTGCTTCTCCTCTCTTGGTGAGTTTGTTTACATTTTATTGTTTAAATCGACATGAAAGAGGGACCAACGACAGCACAATGTCCTTTTCTAAGCATTCAAAATCTATTAACATTAACAAGATACAAATTACTATTTTAGATTTTTTTAATGAGCCTATATAGTAGGCTATGATTTATAACAATTAAAAACACACGCTACAGTAATTTCCTCTAAAAGTTACTGAGTAAAGAAAACATCAGTTCGTACAATACTTTAGTTTACTTTTTGCCTTACTGTGACATTTTGTGACTTTTTGCTTTGTTTAATCGCCCATTACGCAGTCTGATTGATTGTTAAAACAAATATTCATCCTGGAAATTCATGACGCTAAAAGGACACTTTTTTTCTTCACAGGTTAGCAGTCTGAATCCAATACTGCCTGAAATTTAGAAGTTATGAGAAGACAGCAAACCAAGCAGCCTTGTCTTGAAACAAAAAAGCAGTTATATGTTGTCTCTTCTTCTAATCCGCACAGGGTCAAAAGTATACAAATAGGTGAAAATATATACATAGAATCACGTTTTTCTTTTTTCTTCTTTTTTTTGGGCAGAATTGGTAGTTATTTGAAGTTAAACCAGCATATTCCATATATTTGGAATACATTTTGGTATGGTGTGTATCCACTCCAGTGTGTTGGTGGTTCTTGACCACCAACCTACTGCATCCAGGTTTCAGATAACTAGCTGTAGATTTTGACAAAATTTTGAATGTTGTCAAAATTCACATTTTGTGCATTTTTGTTCTTCCATTTGGGTCTCAGTTGTTTCTAAAACATAGCCAAACCTCTTAAGAATGCTACCTAGACACTTTTTGGCAACAAGTTAATATGGTGTGTGGAAAACAAGGTGTTTGAAAACCTCCTGATAAGTCACAATGCACTGTTACCTTGCAACCTAATTGGAGCTTCAGTGTGTTTGGTCCGCTGTATGCACTTTACATTGGCTGCTGGAAAAGATCTTTTTTTGTTGTTGTTGACTTATCATCTAGAAACTACTTGCTGCATTCTTGATGTTTGTGCAGAAGGCTCTACTTCTGCTTTTCAAAAATGTATGGTTGTATAATTGCACATCTGCTTTCAGCCATTTTTATGTGATGTTGGCAGTATTGGTCAGATGGTTGAAACTTTGACAGCTTTGGGTGTTGTTCAAAATTGACATCAAAACTGATTTAACAAATGGTCAAATCAAGCTAACTTTAAATTTCTAAAACCTTAACCTTGTTAAAATAAATGGATTATGCTGGAAGCCAAACATTAAAAATGATCTAAGGATATTTTTGCATTTATCCAACATTCAGAGGGAGTCAACTAGTGAGTTACTGTTCAAACAGGAGTGGATCAAAGCAAAAATCACCAATAAAATAAAGTATCATTTATCAATATTCACATTATGTGAATATGGGATATTTGGGGATTTTGCTGCCGTTAAAAACATATCTTATTTTTCCTTTACAGAAAGAGAAATATTTTTTCTGAAAACTTTTAGAAGCACATTTAAAATAACATATATCATTTATTTGTGGAAACTTACAACTGAAAGTGCATGAACAAGCAGAAACCGTTCCTTTTCAGTGAATATTAACAGGGTTAAGTGAATGTAGAAGGTTCCAGGTCCTCATGGGTAGATGAAGGTAGAGTGTGTGCTTATGTGTGGTTTTTGTATTACAGCATGTGCAGCTGTTTTGCCTCCCTTCCTTACGTGTGCACAAAATCTATGACAACCCATCACTGTGGCCTTCCTGTTTCAGATAATAAGTCTTTTTATTTCTTCTCTTTTCTGTCTTTTCATATGACAAAGAGAAAACTGCTACAACCGAGGCCACAAGTTGTTTTCTTGACTTGGTCCTTTCTCTCCAAGATGGTGATAAATGAATATATATATTTACTTTTATATTTCAGTGTAATAAAGAGGCTATTATGTACTGTATGTGTGTGTCTTCTGTAATGAATTAGTGTGGGTTTTCTTAAAAAAGTTAATAAGTAATGAAATGTTTCAGTGAACAAAAGAAGAAGTTGCTGTAACAACTGTTGCTAAAAACCACAGTTGGACTTTAGCAACATCAGCATTTTTTTATGTGAAAAAAATTTGATTAAAATTTAATTGTCAAGAATTCAGTAAATCAGAAAATATTTGTAATGGTTGAAATATTTAGAAAAAGTATCCCGAGTCTTCAAACTGTATCCGTACGTGAACATTTCATCCCAAACAAAGATTTTAAACTGCAATTGCAGAAAAAACTGCCGAAATGTTGTCATTTGCTTCTACTTTACAACTGTGGTACTTTATGCAGAATTTTTATTTGTTTCACATTCCTTTTTACAATTAAAAAAACCTAAAAGTGCAATTCAGATACACCTATGTAACTGAACAATAATCTACTACACATACTGGTTTGACACAAAGTAGCGAATATCACATAACATCCAAATAAAATACATTGCTGATTGTGCCTTTAATGTGAAAAAATTTAAAATGCAATACATTATGTCTTTGGCAGAAAATGTTATAAAACTTACAAACCCCTCTTGGGTCAAATTGTAGTAATTTGATAAACAGTAATGAGGAAGTTAATCAGCTGACCAGTCAGTGCTACCAAACACCCTGTGACACAGTTAGGGTTTGTACATTTAAGTAAATAATTCCATAATATTGATAAAAAAAAAGCCATGGTTCCACTGACAGATAAATTAACTGATAAGACAATTTCCCCATGTCATAAGTGAAATAATCTGCCAATGGTACTAATTATTTACATAAAACAAGCTCTTGTATCTAACTATAAAGTTACTTGTAAATTGGGTTTGTTTTAATTCAAGTGCAAGTTACTCTTGTTATTTTTGAATGATAGTCTTGTTGGAAGGAGTTGATGTGAGGTTGGTGGCAGAAGGTTGTGCCTGCCCGGGACCATGCTCATGCAACAAGCGCCCCTGTCCGTGTTTAGTCCAGAAGGCCGGAGTTTTATATTTAGCCAGCGGAGCAGTGATAACGTTTCAGACTTGGCCAGCAGACTCAGCCAGCCACCTCCCACTCTGGAAACTTTAAACCAGACAGACCTGCACGCCTCAGAATAACTATTAAACTTCATGAATTCATGAGACTCCCCCCCTTCTGCGTTTCCTCATCTGGTCGGATCCAGCCGGCTGGAAAAGCGGGCGTCCTGGTGCGAAATAATCGGTGTGAGTTAATGAGGCGGAGATGCAGGAGGACAACCCCAGACACGCTCCTCTGCGGCCAGGACAGGTGCTCCGCTGGTGAGCCGGCAGAGGACGGGACGGGCAGCCAGGGAAGGAGGTAAACAGCGGACTCTCTTCGCCATGGATCAGGGTCAGAGCGCGCAGGTCGCCGACATGGCGGGGGAACACGCAGCCGGGGTATGCGCGTCCGAGCGCGGCGAGGTGTCCAGCCCCAGCCCGCCGGCCAAGCAGCGCTCCCTGCGGGTTGTTTACGTCCTGAACGACGGGCTGAAGGCGGTGATGGCCAGCAGCCCGGAGTCCGGGGCGCTGCAGTGCCTGCAGAGAGCCTGCGACGCGGAGAGCGCCCTGCTCACCACCGTCACCTTCGGACGGCTGGACTTTGGAGAGACGGCGGTGCTGGACAGCTTCTACGACGCAGGTGGGTTCTTCTGGTCGGAACCGACCTGGGCTCACAGCTGCAAATCGAAAGTGTAATCAATCAGTGCGTCTCACGATTCCTATGATGGCGTTTGGCCAGATAGAGAAAAAAGGAAGAGTAAATTTCGGGATTAGTTTTTTTTTTTTTTTTTTTTTTTTTTTTTTTGCATGTTTGACTTTTGACTTTCGGAAATGAAGGGTTTCTTAATTTCTTATTTTTAAAATAATTTTCTCGTTTTTTCTTAGAACTTTTCTGACCTCAATAACAAAAAGTTTTTTTTTTCTAGCACGTTTGACTTTTCAAGCTCAGAAAATTCCATGTTTTTCCTAAAAATCCCCTTAAAATTGTAGTTTATTTCCATGAGAATTCAATCTTTCAGATGAAAACTTTATTCAAGACCCCAGAAATGAGAAGAACACTTGGTTCTACACACCATGGAGTTCTGGAGATATATTTATGTTCATGAGAAGAAAAAGAAGAATGGAGAAAAGTCTTCTGTTTTCTTCCTCCATCCATTCATTTGTTCATCCATCCATCTATGGCTGCAACCAACATTGTCTTAGTGATAAAGTGTTTTATTAATCCAGTGATTAGATTTAAATAATTGCAGCATTCTGCAGATTTTCACTTAAGCAACATATTTTATACAATGCTAAAAATACATAGAAAATGTAAATAAACATACATCATTTTAGTTTTAAAAATAAGAAAATGAACATTTTATTTCCTAAAATTGAAAAGCATAGTGAGTGTTTGATCAATTGTATCAATATTGATCAATTACTTGTTCCACTGGAAGATTATTTCACTTATAGCAAGACATTTGTCATATTCTCTAAGTGAATAATCTGGTAGTTTTTCATAAATATTAAGAAGTTATTGACTTAAACAAGCTCTTACACTTTGTTGAAAAGTCACTTGTAAGTTTTTGTCTTATTTTAAGTGTAATAAGACATTTGCATTAGAAACTAGATCAGAAATACTTGGTAATATTTTGTGTTATTTGGTTCTGTAACACCAAATAACCTCTGTCCTCTCAATGCTTTGCTTGCTGTGCATTATATTCTCATCTCTCAGTGATGCTATTAATCCTGCAACCTTTATGTGAACAGAATTAACTCTTCACCCAGATTCTCGCTTTTATTCACATGATTCCCCATTCTGTCTTCAAAGATCTATGCAGTGAAATCAGAGTTGTTCCTAATT